TAAATCAATCATTAAAACAATGATATATTTTCGGTGTTTAATCAGCTTTTTATTTATGTATGTATTTTGGAAATACGTAATTATTATGTCGTATTATAGCGTGTAATCTATTCATTAAAAACACCGGTTTTTAGTGTCGTTTGTATTGTTTTGTTAAAAAAAGAGTCTCAATATATTTAGTGAAACTAATTTTAAGTGAAAATAGAAATGTGAATCGACAACATAATACATTAACTGAAATACAATACATTGATTTTATTATTGCATAATAAAAATCTATATAATAGAAATTTCCATTTCAATATGCAAAATTATTACAGTATGACTACCATATTTTGTCACTTTGAGCAGCAAGGTTATTTATTGTCTTTGCTTGAATTTTGGCTTACTGACAAAAAATTCTGATTGTTTTCTCTGGATAATCATTATTAATTTGACCAGGGATGGATAGTGTGTATCTTAAAAGTGGATTTCTTTATAAATTATATGAAATGTAATGAACTGGGATTGCATTTAATTATTTATTCAATAGTATTTTGTTTTTAATGACATTAAGTTGTTTATTTCAATATTAATGTAAATGCAATATTAATTGAATATGTAAAGAATTATGTATTTATTAAAGTATATACGAACTACCTTTGACATTTACAACTATTTACGCTTGTCTATTTATACAATAAATAATATTTTTCTAATATTAATTTTAAGTAAATTATTTACTTAATTTATTAATTTATGTTGTTTATTAACTAAATAAACTTGACAGGTAACTTCAAACTTATATAATTTATAAACCATTAACCATTTGCTAGGATCACTTTAATTAATGCTTGCATTGGATGAAAATGATGTGCGACGATATGAGTCCCGATAGCCCCGACACCACCTGACAAAACAGCAGCACTGGGAGGCCAACTGGTCATGAAGGGACTCAATCTGCCGGTTGGCCCTCCTGTTCACGTCGAGCAATGATTGGACGCAATCGTGACCCGCATTACGGATACAATGGCATTGGGCGCACATATTGTGGGGACAGTGCTGTACGTGTTGTGTCAACTGCTCCAATGGCACCACATCTGGACACCCGTTGTCCCGATACTCGCATTTTATTTGCAGTTTTCCCATTATATTCTCAAATGCACTAATTTATAAAAATAGTACAGGTCAATTATGTTAACTCTTAAAATTAGATTAATGTATAACTAACTTATTATTGTTGTTAACTGAGTGTTATATAAGTTTTAAAATTAATTATCAGAACTAAATTATACTAAATTTAATTATATTTTAAAATTAAGTTATGTACTAATTATGTTTTTATGTAATTTTATGTATATACATACCGGGCCGGACTGGACAGTGAGCCCACATTTAACGGTCTCCTATCGAAAGGACAGACAGCGTTGTGTTGCAACCAATCGACGATACATTCCCTACAGAATGTCTGTCGACAGCACTGGGCGACCACTGGTTCCCGGAATATGTTGTGACATATACTACAGGTTAGGTCATCCCTGTCCTCTTTGGTCAGCCCCACAAACCTCTCGCTTTCATATCCGGGCATTATTTGTAAAATTAATTGAATTCACACACAATATACAAAATAATTATACTAATATACAGGTATATAATAATAATATTGTGTGTTGTGAATGCAATACAATTGATAACAAATAGATTATTACATAAAACACTTTCACAACCAATAGAGTACTACTGCAATAAGTAAATGGCTTATAATCTTTATTATCATAATTTGAAGTTACGGAAAATATTATTCATTGAAATAATATAATTTGAATGGTTAGCAATTAGTATTATATTATAATTAAGTTTAAATACTTTAGTGGACTAATTTAATTATTGCAGAATTAATTTCATGTTTTGATATTGAATTTCAACTCTAAATACAATAACATAGAAATATTATCTTTATTTATAAACTTATTAAGCAAAACATTTAACAGTGTATTAGTCACTGACTTATTCATTATAAAATTGTTTATTATCTTATCATTAACTTCAGGATCACTTTAGTTACTAAATTACATATGAAATATTTATAATTCAAAATTGTTTAATTTACTGCAACTTTGACAAACCCTGTTTATTAAAATATTATGAATAAATTATTTTAATAAAAACACTTTAAACATTGATTTTAATTAAAATATTGTAGATGTTTATTGACTATTAAAATACTATACATAATAATAAAATAATGAATCATTATTAATGATAATCAGTGAAAGCATAACATGTATATAAATATGGTTTTTATAAAACACTTGTTTTAATCAAAACTATTTTTAATTACTAAATATTTCCATCAAGCACATCAGGAATTTACGCCTTGGGCGACAACTTGTAGGCCTTCCTATCGACACTTTCCTCATCATTCATACTAACCGTGTCCACAGGTACTGCCTGATACTTATTATGAGAGCCAGTGCCCCGGTATCGGCCCCTTCTATACCCTTTGGGCACTTCGATGGCCACGTACTTAGTCTGACAATTGCATCGACCGCTGGCAGTGTTGTCGTGATCCCTGTCCTCCTCCTCGCTCTCATCATAGCTGTCGGCGTATGTGTTTCGGTGTCTCTTGCGATGGCGTCGGGGCCGTCGAGGGCTGGTATTCACGTAACCGCCGATTCCTATGGGCTTACTGTTACGGTTGTACGGCTGGAAGTGCATCGACACGTATCCCATGGCATCCGACTTGGTGTCGACCCCATTCAGGCGACTGTCCATCACTATAGCCATCATCACCACTGCTGTCAATGACAATAACCGCACAATTAGTTTGAAATACATTTTCTTATATCAAAATGCATTGAATTTCATAGCAATTTGAGGTGCATTTGTGAAAAATACTTGTTTCGCATGTTTTCTATCATAAACTCATCACTTGATTGTAAGATAGACTGAATGCGTGTATAATTATATAACATCTTAGCTATTGTTGGCTGGATATTCAGTTGACACTGTTTTGCGTGAAACTATTTTTTTGCCTAAAAATTGTTTTTAAAATATAAGTTTTTCTTTGAGAGTATAATATAAAGTACTGTCACAGTCTGTCTTTGTTCACTATATCGAGTGTTAACTGTATAGAGCTGTAGAAAGCATATCATTTCACAAAATGCGAAATCAATTAATTTATTAGAAAATGAAATAAAAATTATAACATAACTGTGGGAATAATAGTATGGCTCATGAAATGTTTGCGTGACTTATGATTGCGATATACAAATTGACTACAAAATGATTTTAGCCTCAAATATCTCCTTATATTCACACAAATGATACGTTAATTCGCTTATTAGCGAAGATAAAAGAAATATCTATTTCTCAATGAGTTGTAGACTATATTGTATGTCATATTTAGAGCATAATTAATTATTTTGAATTTGAAACCTACAATTTTAAAATGTTCTTTATCATTAAGACAGTGTTTTCATTTAATTAAGTCATATACTAAATAGGTCTCAAGTATTATATCAAATATTATAATTATTTTATTACTCATAGCATTTGCAAAGGGTTACATGAATTTATGCATAATGTTATAAATTAGTGTCAATTATGCATAAAAATTTAAAATTATTATTATTATTACATAAACTTAAATTACAATGTCGTAGTCCACTGTTTACTTTACACATGATACACCAATATAATGATTAATTAATCTAAATTCAATTAACATTTAAATTAATAGCTTAATAATACATTAAAAATGAAACATAATTGTAAATTAAAACACATTTTACTGCCAATGAATTTGTCAATCAATTAGCCCTATGTCTGAGTTCACACAAAAAATATTCAAAAATAAAATCATATCAATAAATCTAATTGAAAAATTTTACATTAAATCTAAACTTTTAATTTACATTCGCGTAATGAAACATTTATTAAGCCTATTATTTGTATGTATAGTGTTGTACGAGCAGTTGTGGACAGGTAGCTCATCTGAGATATTTGAGAAGTTCAAGTCGCTGTTCAAAAAGAAGGAGTATGTGTTCGTACCGGTGCCCATCATGAAGAAAAAGGTGCCTAAGAAAAAGCAATACAAGGAGATTGTGTACATACCGGTGCCTAAGAAAGTGAAGAAGTCTAAGAAGAAGGTGGAAGTGATTGAAGTGAAAGAGGAGCCCAAACACGAGGAACCGGAGGTCATCAAAGGCGAGGTGATTGAGGTGGACAGCCATCAGCAACAAGAACAAGGATCTGGACCTGAGATTTATACAGCTAGTCAAGGGGAGTGGTAGGCTTGTAGTCTATTAGTTGTAGGATTGTGAAGTTGGTTATAAGTTATTTGTTTTGTGTTGATGTATACTTTCTATTATAAGTTAGTGTAATGTAAAATAGTGTCAGTAATATAAATATATTTTCATGTTTAATTTAAATGTGTGTCTATTATTTATCTTTGATTAAGTGGTCTGATCACTTTAACTATTCTGTGTAAGTTCTACATAATATTCTTGTTAAAGTTAATATTTTTTAAAATGTAATTGTCTCTATTTATTTTTCTTTGATAACACTTTTATACATTTAACAAACTATAAATATTCAGATTTTAAACTGTACTAATCAAAAGGTTTTTATATTTACTATGATTATGCATTCTGAATAAAATAAAATAAATATAACATTGTTTACTTTTAATAAATAAATATTTTAAAAATAATTATAAACGGTAAAAGGGTTAATGTGAACCCGGACACATGTGGTGTTTTGGTGAATTTATATTTCAATGTTTTATCAATAAAGGAAAATATAATTTCTAATTGATTGATACCTTAAGTAAGGTGTAGTACAATCAGATCAGTAACAAGCCTATGTAGTATTAACTTATACTACAGTCAATACCTTTTATAATAAACATTAATTAATTATAATAAATATGAGCTGAATTAGTAAAATTGTGCTGTTAATAAACTAGACACTTTCTTAAAAAATTGTAAATACCTGTAATCTACTACTTACAGTTAGTAAATCATATTGTAAAATATAACAAATATAGTAATAATATTTGTATTCATTGATTTATGTATTGTCGAGAATAAGTCAAAATCAATCAAAAGGTTATCTATAAATATGAAGTGCTTTGAGTTCTTAGAAATCTGAAAAGTAATCATTTGAAAAGCAATAACAAAGAATGTTAATAGAAATCATATCATTCATATATACGTCCCATAATTAACCATGATACACTTCGGGGAATTATTTAAAAATACTAAATAAATAAAATAAGCTAGATCCATGATTTACTAGTTCTTTTACTACTCTAATTTTAACTAAAAATTGTAATCTAAATATAGTAAATTTTCATATGACATTACAGAATATTAACTTATTTTATACAATTTAAACCAAAATATTAGTATATTACTCTTGGTACATTGACTAATAACTTTATCAGGGTTTTATTATTTATTCAAATAATTCACGTATATATTGAAAACCTAAATGTAAAATAAATAAGATATGAGAAATAAATGGGTTAACTGTTTGTGAAGACAATGGGAAATACAGCAGAAAATGACAAGAATTACGGATTTGGATAACAAAAGTTTATAACAAAAAAGTATTGATTATCAGCACTTAGATTATAAATCGATTGACAGTTTGAATGTCACCACAAAATCTCATATAAATAAGCACTCGATTCAAGTATTGAACACTTTATGATTTAGTTTAGTAGCTCATTGTGTGCAAAACTAACCATGCTGAAAATTAGTGCCTTATTGGTTGTATTCCTGTGCGCCTATGCCATGGCCGACCCCCTCATCATCGACCCTAAGGTAATACATTTGACAGCTTAGGTCCAGTGGAAAGGGATCCTAATTATTGATATATTGTAGACCGATTGGGGCGCCAAACTGATCAAGGATTGTATGGATGGCATCAATAAAGAGGAACTGGACAAGAAGAGGACAATGACTTTCATCGACATCATCGACACTCTGGGAGACACCAAGAAGTGCACCATCTATATCCATGTCCACGACCAGACCGCTGTATGTATTGCCTCACTATACCTGACAATCCCTTTGAGTTTATTTCAAATGTTTTTTATTAGTCTTATATAAATCCTATAGTTTTCTGACTTATAAGTTATTTGTAAAATTAAAAACTTTTTTAATACATTGAATGTAGTAATTAATGCTAATTACCATGCTCAATCTTACAGGTTAAATACTCGTGCACAGTGAAGGTAACCGAGAAAACCACGCACGTCTACGACCTGGGTGCCATTGAATGCCACTTGGATCACTAAATATAGCTAAAACTTTGTGTTAAATATTAGTTTTTTGATTACAAATCGAGACTAATTCGCTTTAATTCAAAATTTTTGCTTAAATCTAAATTTAATACTGTGTTAATAATAGTGTAGTAACGCTGATAACAATGTGCTTGTTTATAAATGTAGTACTTTTTAACGCTTTCCACTACTTTATTATTTGCTTGTATTAAAATACTAAATAAAATAGTGTAATTAAAAAATAAAATAAAATAATTGTAAATATAATGTTGATTAATTATTATAC